ACCCTTGTCACTGAAGGAATGGGACTGCCGCTGGTCACCCAGCACCTTGTGTCTGGCGAAGCTGGAGCTTCAGTAGAGGGAGGGCCACCAGGTTCTCTGGCTTGGAGATGGTCTCTCTAAAAAAATAAATAAAGGGCAGAGGATTTGAAGAAATATTTCACAAAAGAAGCTGTGTGGTGTCCAGTGAGAGTGTGGGACATCTTCATCACTGGGGACATGAAAGGAAAACCAATACACCCGTCAGAAGTGGACTGTTTCTCATGAGGTTTGACTAGTCATTTATTATTATTTTTAAAATTGTGATTTGGGTGGAAGTTTACAGAGAAAATTCACTTTCCATACAGCAGCTCACATACACTTTGCCTCATGACATTGACTGCAATTTCCCACAATGCAACAGCTCCCCTCCCACTTCCTCCCCTTAGTTACCCCTTCCCTGTGTCCTTCCCTTTCATGCATTCCTGCCCCCTGAGCCGTCTCCCTACATACAGAGCCCTTCTATTCTTCTATGATTGATCTCTCCAAGTATCTACCTAGTGTAAATGTTCACCTCATATGCCTGTCTTTTGTTTGGCTGGAAGCCATAGGAGTGGATTCAATTCTGGACCTGAAGGGCTGCTATAGACCATAGTCTCAGTGGTTCCACCAGGCTCTATCAGACCAGCAAACCTGGTCCCCTTCCCCTTATTTTTTAATTTTGAGTTTTATTTCACGTTGTTTTCCCACTCTATCCAGGGTCTCCTACAGAGATCCCCCTCTGAGTGGTTGACAGTGGTAGCCCAACACTATCTAGTTCTTCTGGTCTCATAGTCATATAGGCTGAGGACTGGATGTTGTAACAGTCACGTGGACTAATTGTTTCCATGCGTCTTTGGTTTTCTTATTTTTCTTTGTTGTGGATGAGGAGAGACCCATAGTTGCATCTAGATGGCTGCTTGCAAGCTCTTAAGATCCAACTTGCTACTCGCCAAGGTAGAAGGTGGAACAATATTGGTCTGTAGTATGTGATGCCAACTGAGCTTGACGTCCCCAGCAATCATGGTCCCGAGTCCACAGGTCCAACTGTGCACTCCCTCTGCGTAGCTGGCTGTGGCCAAGAAGTGACTACTACTTTGTCCTTCTCAGCTCTACTACATATTTGGGAATTCTTGCAGATCATACAGATACACTTGTAAAACCATTGTCTGCCAACCCTATACATGGTCAGGGGCACACTCCCCTCTGCACAGACATACCTATTCATTCAGGCTGCTCACCCGTCTATCCACCTGTAGATCAGTGTTTGCCTTCACTGACAACGCAGTACTGTCTGTGCACAAGGGTGCATCTTTGTTGTCTGTACATCCCATGCACCTCTGTCTGTCTTCCTCTTCCTAAATGCCACCATGTTCATCAGTCACATTTGGTACATTGCCCTTCTCTTCACCTAATCAGTACCTGTCTCTACCCATCTAGCAGTATTCCCTCCCCTCCAACCCCTGGTAACCAACACAGAAAGTTTCCTTCACGTGTAACACGGATGGTGCTTCTTGCTGGTAACATCTTCTCCCACCTGATGACTTTTCTCTTGGCTCCTGTCTGGAAATATCATCTCTTGGGCGTATGTGTCCATGTCCACTTTGATAGTGGTTTTCCTGGTGAACGCATTCCCTCTCTACTGACTTTGGTTGCTCAGAACAGCACATTATCTTAACTGATTGTCTGATAAACTTCAGCTGTGTATTTCTCCATTTCTCTTCCCTCCTTTCTTACCGCTGGTAGAATGGGAGTCTTTGGGGAACCTCGGTGAGATGAGCACTTTATCAGCCTCTCACATCTGCTGGCCCGTCTTTCCTGGCAAGTCTATCGTGCTGATATCATTGAGACTGTTAGTTGTGGGTCACGGGGCTGTTTCTGGGCTCTTGTTGGGTGTTGGCATTTTGAACAGCAATGGTCAGCTTCCCCAGACAGCTGGTCTCCTTACTGAGTCTTTGTCGGGCAGCGTTGACCGAGGCTGCATGTCTTCTGTAGGAGCTTTATGTGACCTCCTTCACGGGGCCTCACAGGCTTCCGATGGGGTGCCTCTGAGTGTGTAGTCCTGTCGCCCCTGTCTTCCCCTGGAGAGGCTCGAGGGTCTGTGATTTTCTACCCTACTTAGAAAAATGTCACTTCACTGTGAACGTGGATGTACCGTTACTGCTGAAAACTGTGATGTGATCGGATCTTCTGTTTCCCGGTCATCTATGCCTCTCAGTTTGTGAAATGATGGTAGAATCTGGGCCTGCCCCTGCCCATGTGCCCTCACCGGCCCCTCCACCCATGTTCCAGGCGTGGCAGTGCGTTCATTACAAAAAACAAACCCCTAACCCACTGCCATCAAGTTGATTCTGACTCACAGGCATCTATGAGTGTTCACTACAGATTTTACAAATAGTGACCGGAAACATAAATCGGTGTATTTTAATGTAAATCACATTATTGTGACATGATTTATCCTGGTCACTGACTTTTTGACACTCCCTTTCATTCCATGTCCGAGTGAGCGCCTCTCCTGCCTCCCCGGGCCCAGCCTGCCCCTCTGCAGGGAGCATGTGAGCTTGGTTTAGGTCCAGCAGACCCTGATGCGGGGCTGAGGTGTGAGAGGTGTGTTTGGGGAGCACACGATGAAGGGAACGTTGTTCGGGGAGGGGATGGTGTCAGGCAGTGGCCTCAGGAACCACGTCTCCACTGTGGGACCTGAGCTGGCTCTGCTGGGGGTGGAAGTCAGGAGCAGAGAAGGTGCAACACTGTCCCCAGGCTCCTGTCAACCTTGGAATTGTCTGGAACTGCCTCCTGCTGTGGCCTGGGAAAGCCGACTTTGGAGGCCAGAGGGAGCCCTCAGGGCCCGTGGTTGGAAGGGGAGCAGGGTGCCCTGCAGTGGTAGGTGAGGGGATAGGTGTGTGTGTGTGTGTGTGTCGGGATGGTGTGAGTGTGTGAGTGTGTGTGTGTGTTGTACGTGGGGTGAGTGTGTGTCTGTGTGTGTGTTGTGAGGTGTGTATTGTCTGCATGCTGTGAGATGTGTGTGAGTGTCTCTGGTTGTGGGCTGTGTGTCCGTGTGTTGTTGTAGATGTGAGTCTGTGTGTGTCTGGCATGGGTGTCTC